GGAACGTACCGACCCCCCGGCCTGCCGCACTGGAGGGCGGCGGCGCAGCAGAGAGCGCTGGCGGCCCTGGGCACGCAGGAGCGCGTCGTGCTTGTGCTTCAGCTCTAGCAGCTTGGCCCGTACCTCCTCGTCCCCACACACGTCTGGGGAGAAGTGGGCGCAGGTTCACGGGTGCCCTCCTGCCTGTCCCCCACACTAGGAGCACCCAGCTCCCGGCTCACCGAGAGGCGTCTCGTCCGTCAGGGACTTTCCATTCAGGTCAGCCCCGTGAGCCACCAGCAGCTCCACCAGGTGCACCTGTGGAGGGTTAGCCCAGCAGCTGAAGGCTCTGGAGCCAAGGAGCCCACCTTGGCCCAGCGCCCTACCCGGCACTCACCTGTCCCCAGTAGGCCGCGGCATGTAGTGGCTCCCAGCCATCGTGGTCCTTGGCGTTCAGACTAGCCCGGTGTTCCAGCAGCAGGGCAGCTACCTTGCTGAACCCATTGGCTGCAGCAATGTGGAGCTGCAGGAACACCGCCAACCCCTGAGTCCAGGCCCCATGCCAGCCCAGCAGCCACCTCCCCGGCCCAGTGCCTCGGGGCCACATCCTCACCAAGGTAGCCCCATGGTCCTGGGGGGCATCGAGGTCGGCTCCCGCCTGTAGCAGGCTCCGGATATCATCCAGCATGTGCAGCTCTGGCAAGGCGCGGGCCTGCTCGATGCCGTCCTGGGTGATGCCTGCAAGGCAGTGGGCTCAGAGCTAGCACCTCCAGCACCACCCATGGTGCAAGGGTGGGCGGGGCCGCACTCACCGCGGTTGGCCATGGCCGTCTCGAGGCAGTCCAGCGTCTGCTCATCTTCACACAGGTCATAGGGCATGTTTCCGTCGGTGTTGACTGCCAGGAGGTCAGCACCCCTGCAGGGAGGACAAACGAGGTGCTGGTCATAGGACACTTCTCCCTGCAGTGAGACCCCCCAGTCCCCTCTCAGAGGTCCCACCTCAACAGAGGCCCTCAGCTGACAGCTGGCTGCCCTGCAGGACTGTATGGAGCTGACCTGAAGGAGACCCAGATTTCAGCTGCTGCAGTGACTATGAGGCTGCCCCTTGGCCCTGGACTGCCCTTGGGCCAGGTGGGCTGTCCTGCAGTCCCCACCCATGTCTGCGCTCTGGGTTCCTGACAGCCATCTGCCCCGTGAACACATGGTGGGCCCACCTGCCACAAGGGGGTGCCAGGACTCTTGGGGGCCCAGGCAGCAAAAGGCGGTGTGAGGAGAGCTGGTGCCGGGGTGGGGGGGCCCGCAGAGCTGCAAGGGGCAGGAAGGGAGGGAGGAGCCGAGGGAGCACCCAAAACACAAGGGTGGGTGCCCACTATGAGCAGGAGTGTAGTGGGGCCGGGGCTGCCCTGCACCCACATGCCCCGCAATGCCTGGGCGGCTCCAAGGATAGCCTGAGCCCCTGACTACCTGCCTGACTAGAGGGTCAGAGCTGAGGGGCCATAGGGGGGGACCCGGATCCTGGAGAAGCTGAGCACCCTCTCCGTTCACCGAGGCAGGTATTCAGAGCTGAGTCCTGTTCTGCCCTCCTTGTTAATGGCCCGGCCTGTGTCCAGGTCCCCCCGCCTTGTGACTCTGACCTGAACAGCACTTCTCTGTGCAGACCCTGGTGTAAATAGCCTGGCAGGCAGAGGACCCATTGCCCTGCCCTGAGTTTGTGCTCCTTCGGAAGAGGGGGCACGGTGGGGCAGCATCGACACCTCTGCCCGATCCTGCTCTCCACACCAGGGATAAGTGGGGACACAAGGGGCCGAAGGCCAGGAACACTTTCCCACAGAGGCGATCCCTGGGCTGACCCACCATCTGCAAGGAAGGCCCTGCCTGCCCCAGGCCCCTGCAGCCCCTCCCTGACAGAGAGGCCCACTCTGGCCACACCTGCTCCCAGTGGGCCCTACCGAGCAATGAGCAGCTCCACCAGGTGCAGGTGGCCGCAGGTGGCTGCGGCATGCAGGGGTGTCCAACACTCACTGTCTCGGGCATTGACCTTGGCCCCGGCCTCCAGGAGCTGCTGCACCATCTCCCGGAAGTCATCGATGCAGCTCTGCAAAGCACACAGCCTGAGTGCCAGAGCCCCAGCCCTGGGCACCCTCCCCTCCTCCCACCTCTGGCGTGGCTGACCTGATGCAGGGCCGTCAGGCCATCCTCATTGGCCAGGTCAGGGCTAACCCCACTCTCGAGGAAGTGGCGGACTGCAGGAGGGAAGGTGGTGCAGTCAGGATACAGGAACAGTGGGCCTACTCAGGCCCCCGACCCAAGGGCACCTGGGCTGCCCGCCAGGCTACAGCCAGGAGAACAGAGGAGGGTAAGGGAGGTGGCAGGATGGACACCAAGCCCAGGCCAAGGGCTCAGGAGCTAGGGCCCAGCAAGGCACGGACGGCAGCCTCCTTCCCGACATCCAGCAGGGCCCCTCTGCGATCACGGCATTCCAGCCCTCAGACTCCCAGAACAGGCCCCTCCCGTGTAAGAGCAGTCCAAACCATCCCACTCTGCCTGGGGCGCTAGCACCCTCACAACTAGCAGGCCACTCCATTCACACTCATGCCCCTTCTTGGGGACCCCCCACCCCTGCAGCCCAGAGAGTGGGCCCAGGGTGCCCAGGCCTGGCTCCCCAGCCGTGCTCCGCAGGGGGACACAGACACACCCTCCCCGGTGCCCCTACCCCTGCTCCCTGGGCGCTGGCCTGAGGCACACCCACCCAGCCCTCCTCCCTTCCCCGCCTCCTCTTGCCCTCTGCACCCTGGCTTCTACAGCAGAGGCCCCTGTCCTCGAGGGAGGCAGGAAGAGCCCTCAAGAGCCTCCCTGGAGAAGCAGCGGTGCTGTGAGCCTGTGGGCACAGGGAAGGAACAGGAAGCCAGCCACAAGCTCAGGCCTGTTCTCTGGGGAGGTTCTAATGGGAAGTCAGAGGCTGAGCCAGGCCAGCCAGTGGGGGAGCCCTGTTCCCTGAGCTCTAACCTGCTGAGGTGTGCATTACTGTCCTACTTGACAGAGGCTGAGGCTCAGGACCTAAGCAGGTAGTGGCCAGGACTCTCCTGAGCAACGCCCAGCACCCTGGCAACACCCCCAGCCCACTTGAGCTGAGGCTGGACTGCCCACCACTTGGGGCCTGCTCCGGGGTAACAGAGACAGGGCTACCGCCCGTACCCCAACCCAGGGCTCAGCCACACTCACCTTCCTCCAGGTCATTTCGGGCAGCCGCCTCTAGCAAGGCCACACTCGGAGGGAAGAGGACCCGCTTCTGCAGCCTGCCAGTCACCTCCTTCTGCTCCCTCCAGCCCTTTTTGCCCTGGGCCTCCTTCTCAGCCTGGGCCCACATCTTCACCTGATGGGCACGCCGCTTCTGAGCATGCTTCAGCCGCTCCTGTGTGCTCATCCTGCCCACCGTGGGCATCTCTGCCAGGAGCTCCAGGTGCTCTGCCATGACCAGAGCTGCCTGCCTGGGGGTCTGCTGGGGGCACCAGACGGGGGAGCACAGGGGCCAGGCTGGGCCTGAGGGGTGGGGCGGCTGGCTGGACTGGCACCCTCCGGGGCATCCCCTCCCCAAGGTTCAATGCCCTCTGCCCCTGGCAAGGCTGGGTCAGGAGGCGTCACACCGTGACCTGGCCCAGGCAGTCGTGAGGGGCACAGGCCCCAGGCACCTTGGCTGCTCACTGGGCAGAGCCTCCCTCCCTCTAGGGGTCAGGGTGTACAGCCTGTGGGAAACAACCCAGGACCTGGCCAATGTCAGTCCAGGGTCTGAAACTAATTGCCCAGATAA